AGAAGTCTGATTGAACACCAGGACCAACGTATGTGTTAACCTTCAATCCCACCAGGGGGCACTGTCCTTGTCGCTGAAGACAGACATATACCACTGCTGTCATTGACACATAGATATAACCTTTTGTAGATCACACAATAGTTGTACATTGGTATATATGTGCCCCCTTCGAAGTTTAAGTGAGCAGTTCAAATATTGGACCCTAGATCACATCGTACATCCTGTCACTTTCAGTGGTTATTAGGTAGAAGTCATTCCGTTATTTGGAAAGGAGCACGCCAACCAGCTAGACATTAGGCACTTTAAGTTTGTATTGTCAACACTCGGAGTGAAATATGTGATATGAAGGGTTCTGTTTCTGTCACAAATAACTTATGACACCCACGTTACTTAGTCAGTCGGTCAGGGACAGAGGAGACCAATGACATTCAGATTGTAAACTTTACTTTCAGAATGGACCAGTCGTTATTTGACAGTGAAGTTGTGGTACATGCTTGTGTGTATTTCCAGAAAGAAGACTACCATCATCAAACCTGCATTCTAATCCCCGGAAGCTTACATGCGTATGAGTTTGGAGAGAAGAACGAACAGCATTCTTGATCCAGGGGATCATGGATACAAAGGTTGTCGTTAGGAGACGATCCACCTCTGCCCCCGGGGCTGCGGTTGCCCCAGTCATCTGATGCGCCACAATTCTCATTCCGTGACCCATGGGGCATCTGTCGTTGAACGTGGTGACCATGGATATAGTTACATATCTATCTGCAAAGGTCCAGGGCAGTTTGTCAAGCATGAAAGCAAATGTCATCTGAAGTTTACTGAAAAGACAATGAGTTGCAGGACGTCTTCAGTGACAACATCTGTCACGTATACGTAACCGTTGGGGATAATGCATTCAGGAAAGAAGTAGGCATCCCCATGTGCACCAAGTTTCCCCCCCTTCTTGCTGATCTGTTTCTTTCCGAATATCAATTACAATTTCTGCTCGGATTGTCAAAATCAAAATTTGGCCTTAAACCTTAAGACTTAAACTTCAGGAATATCGATGATCTGCTATCGTTCAGTAATGGTCAGATAGCTAATTCCCTTCCACTGATTCACCCAAACGAACTAGAAATAAAATAGATACCTGCAAAAATATTAAGTGTGACAAAACTATTCACAAGACTGTATGACTGCAACTTTACCAGTATGAATAGAAATATTACAGGAGTTTTGAGACACAGTCGAACACTTTCCACGTTGATTGTCAAACGACTCATGTTCTGAAGTTGTTCGATCAAGGTTTCGACATCCAAGGCCTCAGTAAAGCTTTTATTTTTTCTTATGGCAGACTGTGGAGGACATTGCCAAATTTGACGCATCTCCTCTTTTGAATGGTACCATGTTCCGGTTCTTTTTCAGGTGAACAATTGCCTCGGCTTTTCGCGAACGCATGATATCATCACTTTTTGTCAATTTTACATTAAGCATGCGAAAGAAGCTGTCACAGCTGCGTATTTTGTTGCTAGTATTCTGTGCGGGGTATTGTGTGTCACACGTTGTAGCCACCAGATCCACGTTTGTCCCTTCGTATGACAAGCACCTGGACCGTGGGCCTATTATACCCGCGAAGGTGCGAAGGAACCTACGTCACGTCCGGCTTGTGCGCATTGCATTGTGGTATAACAAAATATTGCAGTTACAGGTAATTACTACATTTTAAACACGAAATGTTGAAATTGAGACAATGTTCAGGAAAACTGTTCTTGAATAAATGTTTCTACCTTTTCAAATAATTAATATGATATTCAGTTATATAATTATAAACACCTACTTATCGTGTATGGAATATTTTTGGAAAAAGTAAAATGTGTTCTCCATCTCCCAAATATGAATAAAATAATTTTGTGTGTATGACGGCAGTCTGTAAATAATCGAGTCTGGACCAGACAATTCAGTTGTTGATATCATGAACATCGATCCAAGCATCTGGTATACGATGGTATACGGTATACGAGTCTGACCACCCGATCCCGTTAGTCGCCTCTTATGACAAGCATGTGTTGCTGAAGAGCAATTCTAACTCGGATATCCCCGTGTCTATAAAGAAAATATAACATACAACTACGCCGTACTATTTTCGAGCAATAGTGAGTGATTGAGTGTTGTTTTACGCCGCTTTTAGCAATATTCCAGCAATATTGGCTTCACACATTGTACCCATGAACCCGGGTCTTCGACGTGACAAGCGAACGCTTTAACCTCTAGGCTACCCGACGGCCCCTTTCGAGCAATATCTGACGGAACAATATATTATACATTATACTAACACCAGTGTTCCACGTTTTGGCAGGCGTTAGTTTATTACATTAACGTGTCGGGAATTCCGTGCTTGGTATTCTGTGCCGGTATTTTGTGGCAGGAATTTCGTGCAAGGTATTCTGATTCTGGTTTTCCATGTCGGGTATTCTGTGTCGGTGAAAGAAAGTATTTGCTTTCACCTGGTCCCGTAATTTGCGTTGGGTATTCATTGTGGGGTATTCTGTGTTGGTTTTTGTGCCGAGTATTTTTTGCCTTTATTTTTTGTCGGGTATTCTGTGCAGGTACTCTTATACCGGTGTTCTGTTTAGGGTATTCTTTGTCTGGTATTGTCTTGGGTATCCCCCGCACATGTCCGAAGTAACGACACAGTCCTGTCGGTTTCGTAGTCGGATAAGCCTCATACTTCGACGGGCCCTTCCCATGGCATAATCCATCTTCAAGATACAAAACAGAGACAATATACACATATCTGGACGAGTGTTCACCGTCTCCATCTTGAAGGAACAGTATAGCCATACGTCCATAGATGGACGAGCTGACACCGTCTCTATTAGGGGATTGTATAGCTCAACTGGACGAAGACTGTCAAGATCGACTATATTGGTGGATCTACCTGCTCGTCATCCCTGGCCTATCCCGTCGGTCTGCTTGAGCAGCAATGACTGTTGTATGGAGAGATACCACAGGGGTGATCCACAGGGGTGATCCACATAGGTGATCCACAGGGGTGATCCAGCTTCAACACGGCATCAGTGGTCCCCTTAATTGCCAAGGGAAACACCAAGCAAAGCAAAAATTACATCCCATCCAGGTTACCTTGGCTAGAAACATACAGTTATCTTTTTTGACAGTTATAAACTCGAAACTGTGTTTTATTTCCATCGTCACAGATCTTTGCGGTTGTTACACGACTGGTTTACTCAGTGTGTCTCTTCATCCATAGAGCGGCGGTCTCTCTATAGTGCGGCGGTCTCACTATGGTACGGCGGTCTGAGAAACAGCAGTACTTTGAAGACATATCTTCGATTTAATTTACATTTTTCAGACCGCCTCCGTGGTCTAGTGGTAGAGCGTCCGCCCGGAGAGCGGAAGGTTCGTGGTTCGATCCCCGGCCGCGTCATACAAAAAGACGTTAAAAGATGGTACTTGTTGTTACCCTGTCTGGCGCTCGGTGTTAAGGGGCTAATACAAGGACTGGTCAGCTCGGAGTCAGTATGCTGTGTCTGAATAGGGTATTCATGTTAAAACCTGCGGCATGGTATCTCAGTGCGCTAGCACTATACATCGGCATCAATCCGGACTAGTACAAGCAAACTAACACACGTACATGCACGTCGCTATATAAGTGCAATAATCTTGGACGCGACGTTAAACCCCATTTCACCTCACCTACAATTTTCAACTACATTTTGCACACTGATTCTACACCCATACACAAAACACACACACACGCACGCACGCACGCACGCACACGCACGCACATTAACGCACACACATTAATATACATATCCGCCACACACACATTTATACATACACACACAATAATACACACACATGCACCACACACACAATAATGCATACTGACACATTAAAACACACACACGCACACATATGAACAAAAACAATAATACATACACATCCACCACACACACATTAATACATACACACATTAATACCACCCACACCCACGCACACATGTAAACACACACACACAAAACAAAGACACACTATTACATATACACACATTAACACATATAAACACACATTAATATCCATATCCGCCACACACACATTAATACATACACACACATCCACCACATATGAACGCACACAATAATACATACACATTCACCACACACACATTATTACATACACACATTAATACCACAGTCACCCACGCACACATGTAAACACACACACACAAAACAAAGACACACACAATTACATACAAACACATTAACATATATAAACACACACATTTATATACATATCCGCCACACACACATTAATACATACACACATTGATACACACACACCCACGCATAAATATAAACACACATACAACGCAAAGACGCACACTATTACATACAAACATTAACACATAAAAACACACATTAATATACATATCCGCCACGCACACATTAATACAAACACACACATCAACCACACACACAAATACATACAGACACATTAAAACACACACATATAAACATACACAATAGTACATACACATCCACATCACACACATTAATACATACACACACATCCGCGCACACATATAAGCACGAACATTAATCCACACATATAAATACATACACATACACACACAATCACATACACGCACACACAAATAAATATATTCATATACGTTAACAAGTAAATCATTCGTAAATTATGTATTGTCAATTTCGACTATTTCCAACCAACAAACTCGTGCCAGCTCCCAGAAAGCTAGTCAGTAGTCATGGTGGAATTGTACTCGTGAGAAAGACCCTATCACAGTGTATGGTAAATGTGTTCAGTACAAGTAGACCTGACATTGAGGGGACGTGCGTCATAGCCTAGTGCGTATAGCTAGGCTACCCCGCAGTGTGGAGTGGTACGTACTTTCCCTAACAGTTAACCGGTTACCACATATCTTTTCAGGAGCCGAGTCTAAGAGTGCCCCCAGCGTCGCTGTAACCAGGTTGAACATAAGACCAGAAATAGTGCATGTCTAGAAACATTCGATGACAATTCAGTTGGACTTAAAATACAACTCATACTGAATGAACGTGTTTATTTCTATCCAGCTTGTTTTAACTGTGAGATATAGCGCGATATTCACCAACACGCCCGTTGCTAACAATAATATGCTACCCTGTCATACAACCGCTTTCACTTGTCTAACGTCATGGAACACCAGCAGTTGTGACTCTCCCGTCAGCTTTCAGGTGACCCCCTTGATAACTTGGAGACGGGTCGAAGCTTGAAACTTGAGTCAATCTATTTACCAATATTGTCTGCATGGTGACAGACTTAGCCGGACGTCTCTCTACCCGCTCCCCTCCCCCCATCGCCACCACCCCACCCACGGCTCCGACTCGTCAGTTGTGTGATCTGGTGTATAATCGACAGTGTTATTACATAGCTTCATTGTGTTGTAGGTACATACTGGACGCGGCTGAGTGATTTGACAAGTTATTTCATTGGCGGTATTGTCACTTTAATTCGGAGCTCAAGAACCAGAAAGGGAATAACTGGGTATTCATATCAAGTCTACAGCCACAGTGCCCGGACAATGTGAATTAGTCGCCTAGCCACTTTCTATTTACACATGTGTCATAACTTTAACTATCTTGAGGATTACCGCCGTGGCCTAGTCTACTTGTGTGTTCAAGAACTGTGTGTCATGTGATCGGAGTCTACCTGTCAACAGTGGTCGTGCTATCGGAGTACACAACACGGGAAGATATAGTTATACAGCTCCTTCGATTCCAGTTTATTGAGAATTAGTCCAGCAACGCGATGGTGTGTATAATGGCCACAAAGGCACATCAGTCAAACCAATAACTGTCATACAAGATTGATAGACCAATATCAACATGCGACCACAGTCGGCATCGGCGCTCTTGCGGGGGCCACCGCTGTGCCTGAGTGACGTCATGAAGATGGGGTACCTACAGCAGGTGCGTGACCTTGTCGATCTCGGCATGGACATCGACAGCAGGGACGTGGACGGTAAGACCCCGTTGATGTTGTGTGCGTTGATGGAACCAGAGTCTTGGGGGACTGGGATAGCGAGACATCTGATAGAAAATGGCGCCGATTTGAAACTGAGGGATAAGGCTGGTTTAAACGCTCTACATTATGCATGTATATATGAACGGGATGCGTTGACCAAGGTGTTTCTTCATGCCATTGACTTTGATTTGAACCAAGCTGATAAGCATGGCAATACGGCTCTACACTACTGTGTACAGTCGGGGAATGTGGAGATGGTGAAGCTGCTTGTTGAACATCTCCAGAGATACGGACTGTCCTTGGAGATGGAGAATAGGGCGGGTGTATCCGCGCGCAGCCTGGCACAGAAGCTGCCCTGGATGGAATGTGTCCAGCTTCTGACGGAGCGTGAGAAGGAGGTGGAGGAAGAGGAGGAAGAGACGCACACTGAAATTGAGAAGTATGAGGTGAGAAGCGAGAGGAATGAAATGGACGATGTGAGAAGCCAGAAGGATGAGACGTACGGGGCGAGCAGCGAGAAAAGTGAGAAGTGCGAGATAAGAAGTGAAAAGATTGAGAAGTACGAGGCAAGAAGCGAGAAGAACGAGAAGTACGAAGTAAGAAGCGAGAAGAACGAAAAGTATGATGTTAGAAGCGAGAAGAGTGAGAAATGCGACATAAGAAGCGAGCAGAATGAGAAGTACGAGGCACGAAGCGAGAAGAATGAGAAGTGTGAGGTGAGAAACGAGAAGGGTGAGAAAGATGAAATATCCAGTGAGAAAAGTGAAAAATGTGAGTTGTCAAGTCAGAAGAGTGTTTTGAGTTTGTCACTCACAGAGAGTAACTTGAAGTCATTTTCCGAGGAGGCTTCGTCAATGCCTCAACCTCAACGTCCCAAAACGGCATTACTGAAACGTCGCCGTGCGTCATCTGTGAGTTCTGCGTCAAGTCTGTCATCAGGGGGACGGAGTCAGGCAAGCACGAAGAGCACACCGAGGAACAAAACACCGAAACGATGCCTTTTACCAAATGCAAAGAATGAGGACAGCATTATCAGATGTGTCAGTATGTCTGATTTCCGCAAGACCAAAGAGTACGTGTTTAAGCTGACCGCTGTGCCTTACGATGAACTCGAAATGGAGCGAGGCCTTCCTTCCATCCGGCGACCTCAGTCAGCATGGACTCCGAGACGGGAGGCCGCATATCAGACAGACACAGAACCATTCAGTTGGAGAACGGAATTCAAAAAGCTTTATGTTGAATACGAGTTTCAGTGTTCGCCATCGTGGCGTGATGCTGCGAAAACCATTGCGGATCAATTACCGCTGACCCCGCCTTCACCACTTCCACAACCGGAAGAAGCGGAAGAAGACAAGGTCAAGGACAGAAAAGGGAGGCGATCGAGTTTGGTTAAAAGTCAACTTTCCGTGGAATCGTTTAAAGACAAACGGCGTGCATCTGGAAACATTAAGCTTCGAAAACTGTCGACCTCCGGAATTCCCACCCCCCACATGAAGGGCATGGATGGAGCTCTGGCATCCAGCTCCGAATCTCTCAACAGCAGCAACTCCTCGAAGAAAAAAGATGGACTCAGCAGTAAAGGTGATATCACTGCAAGCAAGAACCACAAAATGACACCGCCCGATAAAGACGTCTCAGTGAAAGGACCGAAGAACGCGTCGTTGTCGATCCCCGCTGTCACGGAGACGTTAGTAGGAGACTCCGATAACGACAACGCATCAGACGGGGCATTAACTGACAGCAACCGACTTTCTGTTCTCAGTGATATAGACGAGGACTCGTAGTAAAGGTGTTAATTTCAATGTTATTTTCAATGGACCTCTTAAATACGAATTCATCAACTCTACGAAAGAACGGTGTTAACACTAATCTATTTATCCACTGACGTTATTAGACGGTGAAACAACAAGTCTCTCATGTATATGTACGGAATCCTGTTCTAAGGAATGTTTGAAACATTTGTGTGTGGATTCTGCAACTTTGACTACGCCCCATTATTCCCCCCATTGTCTGAAGAGGGACGATCAGGTTCAGGTTGCGTTGCAGCGCCATATTGTGTCACAGCGCCATCTATCGTCATTATGTTATCCACTGGTAGGTGGGGTTCATGAAACCTTTCCCGTACTGTTATTCACTAACTATGAAACGTGTCCTGTGCTGTTATCCTCTATTTATGAAACGTTTCACGTACTGTTATCCACAAGCTATGCAACGTTTCCTGTACTATTATTCGCGACTTATGAAACGTTTCCTGTACTGTTATCCTCTATTTATGAAACATTTTCTGTGCTGTTATCCACTACCTATGAAACGTGTCCTGTGTTGTCTTCCTCTATTTTTGAAACGTTTCACATACTGTTATTCGCGACTTATGAAACGTTCCTGTAGTTATTCGCGACTTATGAAACGTTTCCCATACCGTTATCCATTACCTATGAAACGTTTCCTGTACTGTTAATCACGACTTATGAAACGTTTCCTGTACTGTGATCCTCTATTTATGAAACATTTTCTGTGCTGTTAACCACTACCTATGAAACGTGTCCTGTGCTGTCTTCCTCTATTTATGAAACGTTTCACGTACTGTTATCCACTAGCTATGAAACGTGCCCTGTACTGTTATTCATGACTTATGAAATGTTCCTGTACTGTTATCCTCTATAAATGAAACATTTCACGTACTGTTATACACTAGCTATGACACGTTTTATATACTCGTATCCACTACTTGTGCCAAGAACATCTATGGAAAACAATATTTCCAGTGGTCATATCCCCGTGGCAGAAACAAAAGAATATAATTTAATACATTAATATATGATAACACTTATATACTGGCGATAGTGACAAAAATATATACGCATTTAATATTTTCATTACGGAAGCAACGTAATATTATGCAAATTTATATTATTACTTGTATTGTCAAGGTCAATGTAAGATTCTACTCTGTCATTCGCTGCCAGATTTATTTGATTAAATCCGCTGAAAGCCGTTTCCAACTCAGCGCGTCACTCTCTTTACTTTAAAGATCGAGACATTAGAGGCACGCGTGTATATGCATATATGCTATCTATAAAATATTTATAACGGTAACACCGGTTAAATCTTCTTTATGCTAATTACACACTAGTATCTGTGATACTGCTAGACATATTTATATAAATTATTGTTTTCCATTCAGTATTAACTGTTAACAAGTAGCAAAATTATTACTTTTTACATGAAATAGTCATAGAGATACCAAGGATTCGTTTTCTTGAGAAAGTAAATCGTTTTAACAGCTGCAGTTTCGTTTTGATTTATTTATTACCCTGACATGTTTAAATGTTGTTTGGAAATTGTTAGACACTTACATTATACTGTAGAAGTGATAAAGATGCTACACAGCTTCATGTCTCCCCTGTTGTACTGTGTTATCTCAGCTACAGTATGCTACTGACTGAGTGAGTATTGCTGTACGCCGCTAAGTATTTTCATTGTACCACGACCAGGAAGTTTGTTTGTTTTTTCCCCCCAACCTTTACTGACAATAGAGAAACCACGATTTACACAAGCACTTACATACCCATGTGGTTAAGGGTTACTGGGGTGGTAAGAATTTATTTATACGGTGAATGCGACAATAACGAAATGGATAGGATAGGGATTGTGCACCAGAAAAGTAGGGTGCAGAGTAGACTGACTGACTGAGTATGGTTTTTCGCCGCTTTTAGCAATATTCCAGCAATTTCACGGCGGGGGACACCAGAAATGGGCTTCACACATTGTACCCATGTCGGGAATCGAACCCGGGTCTTCGGCGTGACGAGCGAACGCTTTAACCACTAGGCTACCCGACCGCCCCATGCAGAGTAGAAGCTAGGATAGCAGCATCTAATCTAAGTTAAGAATTTACCATTTTTCGTTCATCTTAACACTGCCTGAGGTATATATATATATATTTCTGTGATGTAATAATTCTTTATAAGAAAAAATACTTGGCTAAAGTCAGGAGTACTATTTCTATAACGGCAAGTATATGTATGTTTTCAAAATAATACAAAGGTGGTTTTCGAAGGAAGTAAAGTTTAGTACTATGGTGAATCAAAATGATGGCGAATATGGGAATCGAAGCCACGATAACGGGATCCTGGCACTCAGTGTCTTTAACCACTAAACCACCTCTGAGTCAGGGCTGAGCTTAGTCCGTATAACTGTTCCCTCACTTCTTATCATGCTAGAGATGTTGTTGTCGTAACATCCTGGAACCGTTCCACCAGGTGATCTTAACGCTACGAATGTCGTAAGTCGTAAGGTATTTTTTAGTTTTGGAGTTACGATCGTCTCAGAGCAAAGATCGCTTTTGGGGACGAATACCTGGTCTATATGTGTGTACTTATAGAATCAGTTAGTTCTGTGATATAATAATACGACGATAATGTAATTACTATTAAAGGATTTGCATTAATATTTTTGTGGGGATTATCCCATTTTATGAAAGATACTTCTACCCTTAATAGAGGTGACCTGGGCCTACTTGCACAATGCAATCTTAGCGCTACGACTATTGTAAGCCTATGTTAAAGTATGGGAGTTACGATCATCTTAGCGCTAAGATCGCTTTGTGCAAGTGGGCCCACGACCACATGAATTAATGAAGGCTTGGGGTTTCACGTCTATTATCACATACACGTATATTGTATCATTTCATGGAATTATAATCAAGGTATTAAATTGTGGCATTGATAGAGGGATACACATATGAGTGAGTGAGTTGGGTTTTACGCCTCTTTTAGCAATATTCCAGCAATATCAATGCAGGGGATACAAGCAATGGGCTTCAGACTTACAAAAGAGGAAAGTGCCACAACAAATGATAGTTTTCTTCTGATTTTCTCTTTAATATTCGGATGTGATTCCATATGGAAATAAAAACAATTTCATGATTTGGGGAAAAAAGATCAGAATAACTGAATATTTGTTGTTACCCGAGTGAAAGTTTTTTGTTTTGTTTTTTGATGGGGCTGCCGGGAGGGGGGAGGGGGTTGGGTATATGCGAATTTGAAGGTTCTTATCTGTCATTAAGAAGTCAGAAGTCGACTCATAAGTTATCTGTGTTGTGAATAAAAACAACTGAAATGAGCAACGTTTTAGCTCCCCCAATCAACTTGGGTTGTATACTCCCCAGTGAATTGAGAATGATAACTGGAACATCATTTCAGTTGAAAGATGACGGCTTGGCAGCATTGGCAGCATTATAACCCATTTATCGCTTTGGTGAAACAAACGAGCACGCTCATGGAGCCGTCAAACCAAGGATCGTAATCAATGTGATTCTGAGATTCGAACCTATCATTATAAGATGCTGACACATCTCATGGTAGCAATTCATCATTTCAAATTGCGGAGCCTTTGGCGACTGGGGCACCTGTGTTTCCCAGATTCAGTATACACGACAACTACAGTTTCTCCCTCACTTCCTGTTGTGATGTCAGATGATTAGTCGAGCGGTCGGGTAGCCTGGTGGCTAAAGCGTTCGCTCGTCACGCCGGAGACCCGGGTTCGATTCCCGACATGGGTACAATGTGTGAAGACCATTTCTGGTGTCCCCGCCGTGATATTGCTAGAATATTGTTAAAGCGGCGTAAAACCTCACTCACTCAGATGATTAGTATTACATGGTTTTTACAATCCAAGCACAAGCCACATCTTGATATTTAAATGACTTAATTTCACAGCTTAACGTATATAACATTATTTGTCTCATTATGCTCATGATGGATTAACTACTCGACTAAATGTTTGATAACATTTTATTTAGAGATCTAATCTTGTTAAAAACTCCTGTTAAATAATAGAATAGTTGAAATAATGTAATACTATACACAAGCACCTAAGTCGTTATTCACTGCTGGAAAAGAGCTGGAGGAAATTGGGTTCTTTGTGTAGGTATGTACATACATTACTCTTCCATTTCCCGATTGAATGTGCTGAGAGTGGTAAGGTGACCATTTGAACGAGGTAACTTGATCTGCTCATTGTTATATCTCGACCTTCCTTTAGCTGCCATTCACTCACTGGGATTTATTCCCGCGTTCTCCTCCAGAACTTGCTGTGAACAATACCGAAGCTATAGAAATCAGAGGGTGGGACGAATGAACATGTAAACAAACACTAGTATTGCCTGTGTACATATAATTGTTGGTGGTGAGTCTTTCAGAGCCACTGGGCTGACACGACCAAACTAATTGTGTGTTTCTAACGTCGCTGTTATACATATGTGCCTTCTTAAACGTAATTGTCTCGGTGTCATGTGTCGGGGTCAGGACAAACAACTCAGACCCGTGACACCAGGCTGTACATTCGTCATGTACCGAGTCAACAAGTTTAGCGATACCGTTATTATCATATAACGATAACAGCAAAGAGACTCGTTTTCCGGATAGTTCAAAACTACAAGATTTCGTTACTATTTGCAAAGATGCCAGAATATTTGTAAAATATACACAAGAGTCGAAACTTGTGGTGTCACCCTGGGCAAATGACTTAATTCAAATCCACCTCTGTTCACCCAGCAGGGAATAGGTACCCGACATGTGAGGTGGATGTAAAAACCTTTTAGCACCCCCATGCAGCTTGGGTTGTATACTCCCCAGGGTGTTGAGAATGATAACTGGAATAGCAACGGTATCTACTGGTCGAGGAACAAATAAAATCGCATTTGAGCAGATACTAGTACCTGGACAACTGCGGTATATTAATGTTTAATAATAATAATAATAATAATAATAATAATAATAACAATAATAATAAGAAGAAGATGAATGCTCGCAATAAAGTTAAAGCCACAAATACTTATGCTGTACCCGTCGTTTCATATTCTTTTGGTGTTGTGGATTGGACGGAATATGAAATTCAGCGTATTGACACCCTGACATGAAGATTCATGTCAGACAATAGATCCCACCACCCTCGCTCTTCCCTCAATTGCTCATATTTACCAATCATTATCGGAGGACGTTGTTTGATTAACGTTGGGGCTCTTCATGATAGAATTGTTTTCTGCACTTTTGCGCACATTTATTTGTCTGATGATCCTCTTTTGAAGCATGTCAAGACTCATGATGAAAACAAGGCATTCCACAGTTTACTTAAACGAGGTGGGGGACATGATCTCAATGTCGGTGTTGATTTTGTTGATGGTTCTGAACTGCTGGACGGTACAGAAATGAATGTCAACCAAGCGAAGCGCCATATCAAATCGGGCCAGATTCAATTTTTCAAGGAGTGGCTATCTGAACGACCACTGCATCGAGTTCATATACAGTGTGTTGAGAAGATCAGCAACCCTGCAGAGTTCTTCTGCTGGAGTGGTCCCAATCTGTTGACTGGCATTGGGAGAGTACCCGGGTTTGCTACCAGGAATACAGCCCTTCTGACAATCTGGGTAATGCAGCAGGCTGCAGTGTTGGGGAGTCTTCACATTCTCCGAAAAGTTCTGGGTGGGTTTGACTAGGCAGCGCTTCCTGGGAGAAGTCCCATTCGCTGTCTGGGCTGCTCGTAGAGGGGGAAAAGGGCCCTGAGCTTATGATGAGCCTAAAAAGCCTGACTGTGCCAGGATCATCCAAACCCTCTTTGCTGCATTTTTTATTTCAATCTGTAAATAATATTAATAATAATAATAATAATAATAATATTAATAATAATAACAACAACAACAACAACAACAACAACAACAAAAACAAAAACAACAACAACAAAAAGCAACAACAACAGTGAAACCTCATTTAACAGGATCCGTTTATACGGAAACCCCTCTGTCCGAATGAATATCTTCGGAATATGGAATATATGTATGTTTTATTGTGTATTCACTATTCGATAGTCCAGACGTTTTGTTGAAAAGGGTATCGTCTGTATTAAACGTGTGTGGAACCTGGTACGCAATGTGAGCTAGGTTCCTTGTCTCAGGTAGTCGTGCCACTCAATCAAGGTAAGTGGCTCTGTGTGTCAGGTAAGCGGGACTTTGATCCAGGCGGACAGGTAAGGAACGTGATTGAAAACCAGGCGTCCATATAAACAAGCTTAGCCTACCAACAAATGGCGGTTTCTGGAGCAAAAAATAGATTCATTATGACTTAATGGACCGAGATAAGACGTAAATATATTATATGACCAAGTTTCCCCTGCCTTGAAGCGGACATTAGACAAGCCACCGTGTGTTGGTATCGAGATAAATTGCTGTTGGTTGTTAAATGAACCAAATAAATGAATTATAGTAATGTAAGTTTATATAAGATTCCACGG